TTGAATAAGTTAGCACAGCGAGCATATACCGTATAATGCGCTCATCCAGATCTGGTCTCAAATGGTAATGGAGCGTACGTTTCGCCACCCCAAGAGAAATGCAGGACAGCGCATACATCCAGACTTCCTGTGTGACCAGGACGCACTCTGCTTTGAATACGTGGGCGGCTGCACTGTGGTCCGATGTGATGTATGACCCAGGTACATGCACTTTGAAGAGGCTGAGATGACGGATGGACAGGATGCTGTGAGGGTGCTACGCCGATGCCGTGAGGTCATCATAGGAAACGTTTACTCACCTATCATTATGCAACGATTTCTGTCTGCAAAAGTGTGGGTTGAGGACGCGTGGATCATCACTGGCAAACAACTCCGGTTTCGCTGATGGAGAGGATAAAAGGCGAGCGAAGGCAGACATCGGACGGTGGGGGTACCCCGGACGTGTCGGTACAGTATCCGGCGTCCTCGAAATCATGTCGACACCTTGAGACTAGTATTGCAATTGTTTTTCCTGCCCTCATGTTGTCTATGGGGACGCATCCAATGATGTTAGCTATGGCCAAGCAATAACATGCATAATTTATGCTGCATATGGGCAGTGTCGCTCATTGCGAGGCATGGCCTGACGATTTGATGGTGGTTGACCCCCTCAAAATATTGAGGTGACGGCACCTCCGAATATTGAGGTGCATCTAAAAATAGAAACAAGGGTTGGGCCACGCGAAAAGAAATGCCCGCGCACAGAGTCGAACTCTGGACAGCGGGGAAAAGGATTATATAATACCACAGTGAGCGCACTAGACCGCTACGCCATAAGGCAGTGTAAGCCTTACAAAATACATCCATTATGTAGTTCTGGGAAACAAGCGCGCCCTAGGGTTCGGGTTACATCAGATGACATAACATTTGATGGACTCGTGATCGGGGAAGACCGCGGCCGATCACATCAAATGTTATGTCATCTGATGTAACCCGAACCCTAGGGCGCGCTTGTTACCCAGGACTACATAATGGATGTATTTTGTAAGGCTTACACTGCCTTATGGCGTAGCGGTCTAGTGCGCTCACTGTGGTATTATATAATCCTTTTCCCCGCTGTCCAGAGTTCGACTCTGTGCGCGGGCATTTCTTTTCGCGTGGCCCAACCCTTGTTTCTATTTTTAGATGCACCTCAATATTCGGAGGTGCCGTCACCTCAATATTTTGAGGTGTCACACCTCAGCGTTTTTATGGGACGATACCTGGTCATTGCGGGGGCGTTACTCACTCCCAGGCATGATATTGATATTGAGCGGAGTTTCAATTCTATAGCGGGCAAGCTCACGTGGCCCATGAACGACCCTCAGGGAGGATTATGTATTTGGGTTGAAACCATCAGAAAGCTCACTTAAAGAGCATGCTATAAAACTTTGTATAGTCTCAAATTTTTATAATCGCGTCGCGGCCTCCATGTCAGCCTTGTTGCTGCGAGCGCGAGGCGGGCGTTGCCGAGCTCATTAGCGAGGTTCGAACTCCGCTCAATATCATGAACAAACTGTATACCTGTATATAGCCGTTCAAAAAATCTGATACTTTTATGCGATACTCTATCCTGAAGTAAAGAGTGCCCTACATACTTGTGGCGAGAGGTACACAGCCGGAACGCTCGCAGGCGAGGGCTTTCAGTCGCAGCCACCGCTGATATTGTGCGGGGTTCCAAGCGTGGGAAATGTGCACCGAGCGTCTCGCATTCAATATGGCAGTGAGCGACTACGAGGTGGAAAGCACGTTGTGTACTATGAATCCTTCAGAAGATCTCTTACTTGTAGCTACCTGCGCCATGTAGGTGTTGTAGGCAATCGGTAGGGGGTATTTTCTTAGATACTCAGTCAATACCCGGTCGAAGACCGGGGAGAAAAATGAATTGCACATCAAATTTGCGAGAACCAGAATCCTAGAAATACATCTCCTGCCTCACAGGCGAGCAGCGGGATGTTGCATGACTAGCTCATGAGCAAAAAGCAGCCTTCCAGCCACAAATAGCCGTATTTGGATGTTGCCACATGGCTCCCTGAGCCTTCCCCCTTTTTCTTTTTTCTTTTTCTTTTCTTTTTACTGCAGTGGTATCATTATCGAGCCGTCATTGCGGGGCGGGCGCTCGTGATATTCGGACATTTTGATCGGAAGCTTTGTACTTTCCCCGGAACGTCATTCGCTTTCCCCGTAACCTCTCGCGCGTCGTTTCTTCCGCTGTTGCCATTGTACACCGTTAACACTACCCGACGGCGACACCATGCCCGCCACCGCCCTGGCCGTCTTGCCCATCCCGCACCCGCTCATCCTCCTGCCTTCAGCGAGACTGACGCTGCCCGTGAGCAAAGTATCCGGCGAGGTGCTGGCAGCGCTCGTCGCGGAATCAGACGTCCAACCCGTCCTCGCCGTGGTGCCCATTACGAACCACACAAGTAATGCTAACGGGCAGCACAAAGCTGAGCCTGTCTTGAGCGAGTGGGGGACAGCTGCGCGGATTATCCGGCTCATTAGGCCGCCGAACCGCAACCCCCAGCACCCATACTTGCTCTCGCTCCAGGGTCTGACGAGGGTCCGCCTCGCGGCGCCCGTGAAGCTCAAGTCGAACGCGCCGACGGATATCATCAAGCTCCACCCGGTCGAGTACCCCGTCGTGGACGACACCCCATCGCCGGAGACGGTGGAAGCTTTCAAAGCCGCTGCCCTGCGCTTACTCGATAGGCTGGCGAAGGACTCGACCCAGCAGTCTCGCAAGGACGCATGGATGAAGATAGCTGGCATGGTTGAGGAGATTTCGGAGCAGAGAGCTCCGTGGATGGCGGACGTGATGATCTCCGCGGTCAACGGAGAGTATAACGACAAACTCAGTATGTGACTCTTATGCTTTGTGGGCAGTCATCTCGAAACTCAGCTCGTCCACATAGCCTTCTTGTCCGCGGCAGCGCCGGAGGAGCGTTTAAGGATCGCAACTCAGATCTTCATCAAACAAGCTTCCATCTCCGAGGTGTCGAAGAAGATCGCCTCCGCGGTCGACGAGTCGCTCTCGAAGCAGCAGAAGGAGTTCTTCCTCAGGCAGCAGCTCGCGGCGATCCATCGGGAGTTGCAGAACCTGAACCGCTCTCATAGCCCCAACGGCGAGGCCTCGCCGGGCTCCTCGTCAGAGCTGGACGACGATGAGCAGCACGAAGTTGAAGATATGGCTGACCTGAAGAAGAAGATCGAGGCGATGGAACCTGGGAGTGAGGAGAGGAAGATGGGCGTGCGGGAGTGGAGGAGGCTGAAACGGATCCCGCAGGGGAGCGTGGAGAATGGTGTGATAAGGACATACGTGCGTCCCTCCCACCCAGTATGCAGCGAGTCGCTGTTTACGTCTGATGACTGTCTAACAGCTTGAATGGCTCACGAGCATACCCTGGCCGTCGTCTGCCGCTGTATCCGATTCGGCAAGCCTTGACGCTCTGAAGGACCGTTCGTTCCTGAAGAAGGCGCGGGAACAACTAGATGCTGACCACTATGGCCTGGACAAAATCAAGCGGCGACTCATCGAATACCTCGCCGTCGTCCGGCTGAAGCAGTTGGCTGCCTCCGCCGAGCAGGACGCGCAGATGACCCTCGAGTTCGAGAGGCAGGTGCAGAGCGAGTCGAAGGAGCTGGTGAAGGTGGAGAAGGCGAGCGTGCCGAACCCGCAGCCCCCGAGGCGCACGCCTGCGAAGAAGGCCGTCAAAGGGCCGATCCTTCTGTACGTTGCTCCACTCACGGCACTCTTCGCACTCAGCCTGAGCTTCTTTATCCAGCTTCGTAGGGCCTCCTGGTGTTGGGAAGACGTCGCTTGGTCAATCCATCGCTCGCGCGCTCAACCGCCCGTTCCAGCGGATCTCGCTGGGCGGGGTGCGGGACGAAGCCGAGATTCGAGGGCATCGGCGGACATACGTTGCCAGCGGACCCGGGATGATCGTGCAAGCCCTCCGGAAGGCCGGTCGGCCAGACCCCGTGCTGCTCTTGTCAGTGCACCCCACAGATGATTGGCGTGCGACGCGGCTGACCTTCCATATACAGGGACGAGGTAGACAAAGTTGGACAGAGCAACTTCCATGGCGACCCCAGCGCAGCTCTGCTCGAAGTACTCGACCCCGAGCAGAACCACTCATTTAATGTCAGCGGTATAGTGTGTAGTTGTGTCCGGACATCCTGCCCTGACATCCCCCGCAGGACCATTACATCAACGTCCCCATTGACCTCAGCCAAGTCCTATTTATCTGCACGTCGAACACCCTGGATACCATCTCGCCGCCGCTACTGGATCGTTGCGAAGTTATCCAGCTCTCAGGTGGGGAGTTCGTCCGTCGGTTATACAGCTGTGCTAACGTAGCTCAGGCTATACCTATGACGAGAAGCTGCACATTGCGCGGCGTTTCCTTCTACCGAAGCAGCTGCAGAGCAACGGGCTATCCCCGTCCCAGCTCACAATCACCGACCCCGCGCTCTTGCATATCGTGACGAACTACACCCGCGAGGCAGGGGTACGTAGTCTAGAGCGGGCTGTTGGTTCGGTCGTCAGGTTCAAGGCGGTAGAATGGGCGGAGGCCGTCGATGACGGGCGGGAGCAGGATTATAAGAGTGTTGTGGAGGAGAACGAGCTCGAGGCTATCTTGGGCATTTCTAGATGGGAGGGGGACGAAAAGGACAGGGAGGAACGAAGAGGGCTTATCTATGGCCTTGTCGTCACTGGACAAGGGGAAGGCGGTATCCTCCCCGTCGAAACGATAGCGATACCGGGGTCTGGCCGACTGAAGCTGACCGGGTCCTTGGGCGAGGTAGAAGCTCTGCCATACCCAGCATACGCAGAGTGCTCATATATATGCTCCAGGTCATCAAGGAGAGTGGTGAAATTGCCCTGAGCTGGGTCAAGACCCATGCGTACGACCTGTGCATCACGGAAAATCGGGCCCAGGATCCCCTGAAATTTCCCGATCCAGTTGATATTCACCTACATCTGCCTGCTGGCGCGCAGAAGAAGGATGGCCCGAGCGCTGGAGTAGCCATGGTAGGTTCACGTGCTTCAAACTTTTCGTCAGCCTCTATTAATTGTGTGAGTAGGCTTGTGCATTTGTCTCTTTGCTAACCGGAGCTTGTGTCCCTACAAACGTCGCTATGACCGGCGAGGTAAGAACGTATCTTCTTACTGTCAAATGTTGCATCTCAACTGCTGTGGTAGATCACACTTCGCGGGCGTGTCACTCCAGTCGGCGGTATCAAAGAAAAGGTGAACAATAATTTCGTAGGAAGTACCAAGTTGATCTAATATTCTTCACCCAGGTTCTCGGCGCCCATCGAGCTCAGATGAAGAAGGTCATTTTACCTTGGGCTAATCGTAAGGATGTGGAACACGATGTTACCCAAGACGTGCGAAGTCAGATGGAATTCGTCTTCGTCAAGACTGTCGAGGAGGCCCTAATTGCGGCCTTTGGGAAAGGTACTCTTGGATGGAGGAGGCAGACATTGATGATGGAGAGCCGCCTGTGATGGACAAAGGCACACGGACATCCACTATACTTCCTTTCACTTTCTAATTTATGTGGAACAAATGAGGTGAGGGTTTGATGTATGTGTACGAGCAGCTGTATGTACTTCAGGGAGGAATGTATTAGTAGAATACCCGCCTAAGTATAGGTTTGGGCCAGGGCCATACCACAATGCCGAGTGATGTCCGGTATGGATATAATTTTAGTTCGGTACTAGCAAGGTGCAAGTGACCGGAGCGCTGACAAGCACAGATTCACCTTACGGGCTGTTTCCGATATCTTCCTTCTGTCTACTCATAGGGGTATAGAGTTAATACGCCCGAGAGGTATATTTGTCCAACCGGCGCTGCCGGTGGATGCCACACGGCGGGGGTGTCGGTAGCTGGACTCTGCAGCCACCCGTCATCCCAAGAGATCAGCCGTAACGTACGAATTCATTATTCGAGTTCAGGCGAAATGGCAAGAGCGGGACAAAGCTGAGACTCACTTCAACGAGGCAAGACAGGGGGAGGATCGTCACAAGGCGAAGGACCTAGAAAAGCTGAGAGAAGTTCCGTGCTTCTGAGAAAGGTGTTCCAAGGCTGTCGTGCCGTGCATCCACTTCAGTAGAGACAGCGACGGGGAACTAAGTCGACATGGCCCCGCCAGTCATGGCAGATCTCGGGACGGTTAGTACAGTTGCTGGAGTGGCCTATCACATTAAGAAGCTCGGTGATGAGGTAGGTATCGCGTCTACCGAGAGTGTGTCCCACCCAGACTGATCCGAAAGCAGGTCTCAGGTCTCTTCAAGCACTGTGAAAGACTAGGACAAGGGATGGAGGAGCTTCGCAGCCACATCGAAGAACGCATTCGAGACTGTCAGAGAGCGGACACCGCATCTCCGCGGATATACGAGAGTCTATCAAGCTTGCAGCAGTAGGTTACTAGGCTTGACACACTTGACGTTCTAGGCTAACAGGTTATGTTAGTCAGATAGACGAGATGCTCTCCCGAAATAAGAAAATAATGAAGAACCGGAGACGTCACCTGCCAAATATGCAGGTCGTCTTGCGACAACAAAGGGACGAGCTCTTCGAGAAAATATCGGCGTTGGAAGCAGACTTTAGCAGAGTCTTTAGAAGTTTTGTGGTGGGATATTTCGTTGCCGCCTCTGAGTGGAGGGAAGCTGAGAGCGTCCCAGGTGGACGAAATAGCCCAGATCGGGATAAGACAGACCCAGCAAGCTCACTCGACCCGTGAGTTGATGGAGAAGATGAACGAAGTACTCTTCCACATAAGGAGTGGTATGGGACCGTCGCCTACGGCTGTTGCTCAGGCTGCACCGGACTCACTCGCAGTGGGGAGTCCGCAAGCAGCCACAAATTTGACTTTCACACGCACGACAGTACGACTGGTTCCATCGGGAGGTCAGATGTCGCTGCAAGATCCACCAGCTCTGAGCTGTACCAGCGCTCCCGCTCGCATCGACCCCTTACGATTCACCACAGTCCCATTCCAACAGGCCGGCATAGTCCCATATGATCAGCAGAGCGCTTCAGTCCGTCCATCTTCACGGGTAGTCGGTCCTCAGCACGGAAGTGGTTCACCCGGGACAGTGATTGTACAAGGAGCTACAGCAATCCCAGCGCTAACTTCGGCCCGCGACATAAGGTGCAGCCGCGACGCCACGAGCAGTGGGTACAGTGCTCCTCCGCCACCTTATACCCCGCAGCCGGTATCACACTCGCAGGCAAGCCACAGTTATGGGCCGATATTAGTGATAGCCCAAGCGAGCAACTTCCCTACGAATCCCGAAAAGGTGGCAAAGTCTGTGGCCATCTCGTCGGCCAGCAAGGAGGCCGCCAGAGAGTGCTCGAAGAATTCCGTTGACGGCGGTGAGTCGAAGCAAGCGACAAGGAAATGTGGCGACGAAGCAGCAGACACAAGGGCTGCTCGGCCTCCAGAAATTTTGACGATAGAGCCCGACCAACCGCCTTTAAACAAGGATGGAAACAGACGGGATTCGGAGAACTCGATAGCGAGGAAGCCAAATAAGCTGGTTGCAAGACGCAAAATTAACTCTCCAGGAACAGGCTTTAACGGAGACCAGCCGGGCGTCGCGTCAAATAAGCTGCGAGCGAAAGCGAGGATTATCCCTACAAATTCGGCGTGTCGATAGTCCCGCCTGCCTTGAACCCGGTCGCGCACTAGCACGCCTGACGCTTCAGGCTTACGAGAGCAAGTAAGAGAGTCCCCGGGACGGGTAGCAAGGTGCTTATAATATATATTGAAGTTCGGCGCTCTTTGTCCCCAGGGATACCGCGTCAGTAAACGTTGCGACTTTGCAGATCGAGAGGTCGAAGATGCCAATGGTCAATACTGAACATTGGCCAGTTGCGAGCTCTCATGTCATCCGCTGAAAGATAATCTATCAACTTGCTAAGCAGTTTATGAGTTCACTTCCAGTTTTTCCCTGAAAAGGGGTGCATGTCACTTGCCTAGCCAGAAAGTGGTTCTGCTCAAAGATGGAGGCGGCAAACTTGAATCCAGGCTGCCACAATCGTGAGAATCGAAGACAAGTTCGATTGCGACGCGAGAACCAATTGCATAGCGCCCGCAGTCCTCGCAGTCGCGTCTGTACATGTGGCAAGGCAACTAAAGCACCTCTGCCTTCAGCAAGCAGGTCCTTATATGGAATAGGGATGCTGAAATGTGTGGACGTTTCGCACTTGCACTTCCCGTGAGATACGAGTTCGTTCGTCATGACTGAGCCTCCTATCATAGCTAGTTGCCTTTAGCACCATGAGATTCAACAACTACCAGGATACCCGAACGTCCAGGTTGGTGGATGGATCGACCAAGACCAGTTTCATCCGAGATATAACATTGCACCTCGTTCTCGCGCTCCTGTGATACGTCGCAACTTTGACGGGCCATTCGAGGAATGTGCTGCGGGCCCGAGATACGTGTTACAGACCATGAAGTGGGGTTTAGTCCCGCACTGGAGTAAGCACGAAGATAAGACCCTCAGTACCACCAACGCTCGGGCGGAAAATCTTGTGGAAGGTGGTAGTATGTGGGGCCCCATTAAGGGGAAGAAGCGCTGTGCTGTCATTTGCCAAGGGTACCTTCCGATACGTTTATGTTGGCCACGAGGATAGGCTAACCTCAATGCATCCAGATACTACGAGTGGCTGAAGAAGGGAAAGGATAAACTCCCCCATTTCACCAGGTTTAAAGACGGACGCATCATGCTGCTTGCCGGGCTCTGGGACTGCGCAACTCTGGAAGGTAGGTAGCGCTGATTATCAACTGGGATTCACGTTGAAGAAACTGCAGGCGAGAAGGAGCCGCTCTACACCTTTACAATCGTGACAACTGATGCTAACAAGGAGTTCAATTGGCTGCATGACCGGCAGCCCGTCATCCTCTCGTCTCGGGAAGCTCTCGAGACTTGGCTGGATACGTCAGGTCAGACATGGACGCCTGCGCTCACGAAACTCGTGAAGCCTTTTAGTGATGAGGCGGCACCGTTGGAATGGTAATCGAAGCACCTGTCTACCGCGTGTAGACATCGCTGAGTACGCAGGCTTCTAGCTATCAGGTCCCCAAAGAGGTCGGAAAGATCGGTACCGAGTCACCCTCTTTCATACAGCCTGTCTCCCAGCGGAAGGACGGGATTGAATCCATGTTCGCCAAGCAGAAGGAGTCAGCGAAGAAACGGAAGCGCGGCGCTTCGTCTCTTGCGTCCTTACCATCGTCGAGCCAGTCAATTATGGCAGGTATTGGCGCCGAAGTTAAACAGGAATCGGACGTGCCTACGTCTTCAGGCAAGAAGATGAACACCTGGGAGGACGACGAGCTTGAGTATACTGATGAAGCAGAAACAAAACCATTCAAACAGGACTCTACTAAGGTATGCAGTTGTATTTTCTTTGGCACTTCAAGATCTTTCATCCAATGAGCTAGGATGAACAGGATGTTATATGCATCGATTCAGACAACGAGGAACTCAAGCCTCAAACTCAGCGTCCCAAGACAGAGGCACAGGTAAGCAGCATTTCCTGACTCTCCATCGGTGCACACCCTAACGACTCGATCAAGTCCCCGAAGACGCCATCGAAACGGCCGAAAACACACCAGGTACGTATTCTGGATCCCCGCTACATAGCAATCGTGTCCCGAGAGATATTCACATTCGTACCCAGACTAAACCGCGAAAGACGCCGGAAGCGAAGAAACCTCAGGGTACGAAGGATATCTCCACCTTCTTCAAAAAAGTATAGTTTGACAAGTCTCGCTACGTTTCATGCGTATGTCTTGGGATACTCATGTGCGATTCACGAGTTTGGCTTTTGCGTTCATGAATTCGTTTCTCTTTTGCGAGCGACGCATTTGCAAGTCTGCAACTACAATATACATATGATCATGAGAGACGGAGATGAGATGTACGTGAGAGACAGATGAAAATATAAGAGACGCAGAGAGGAGAGGACGAGGACAAGGACAAGGCTGATCTGATGCACGAGGAGATGAAAGGGAACAAGAGAAGCAGATAGGAAAACACTTGACAAAGCACACAAGTCCTCGAACGCGCTGCCTACTACCGCCTTCCCCATTACTAGATTATTACGTTGCGATCACTGCCAGTAGGCCTGCTGCTGCCTAGGCTGATATGAGTAGAAGGGGCTCTCCGAGCCGCCCTGCGGATATCCAAGATGACCCTGAGGGAGCTGGCCCTGAGGCTGATGACCTTGCAGCTGCTGGTTCTGCGGCCCAGCAGCACTCGAGCCAAAGCGGGCGCTGCCATAGAAGCCTCCCTGGCTGGGCTGCTGGACACCGCCGCGACCCTGAGGAGCCTGACCAACTCCCTGGCCAACACCCGTGTCCTTGACTGACGGCGCATACGGCTTGTACGCAGCCTCAGGGGATCCGCCGGTTCTCTGGCCGATCGGCGCGCCGGACGAGGGCGTGTTCTGGCCCAAGCCCATAAGACCCTGCATCCCCTGGCTGCCGTGCGTTCCGTACAACTGCTTGCCATAGTCGTTCGACGGGAGGCCACCACCGACACTCTGGCCGTGACTATGCTGATGCTGGTGTTGCGTGTGGTGCTGGTACCCAACATCCTCATACGCCGATGAAGGGTGCTGCTGCCCGTACAAGCTCTGCCCGTACGACTGCGGCTGTGCACTCACGGGGGTCTGCTTCGCAGCGGGCGAAGGAGCCGAGCCAGGTCCGGGAGGGCCCGGGGGGAACATCGTGGGGTACTTGACGAACGGCGGGGGCACGCCGTATCCGTAGTTATTCGGCGCACCGTAGTATTGGTTTCCGTACGGGTAGTAGTAACCGCCCGCCATCGCCGGGTACCCGCTCTGCTGCTGGGGGTTGCTGCCACCCGGCGCGGGCTGAGCAGAGGTCTGCGCCGAGGGACCATGTTGCTGGGCAGGTTGGGCGCCGGACTGCGGCAAGCCCGCAGGGGACGGCTGCTGCGCCGACAGCCCCTTGACATCGTCGTGGCCCAACGCGCTGCGACCCGCAAAGCCAGAGCCCTGGTACGAATCGTAGAAACCCTATACAAACCAATCAGCTACGATCTCGCTCGCTCGCACACGTTGAACAACACTAACACTCACCCTGGGGCTCTCACCGTACCCAAAGTCCCCTCCTCCAAACCCAGCCAGGTGACTCTGGCCGGGATGCTGAATCTGCTGCGCAAGCCCACCGAACCCTCCATACGGGCTGTCTTGCGCGCCCCCCACGGGCGGCGTGGATGCATGGAAGTACGGCGCCTCGTGCTGGCGGAAGTATGAGGACGAGTGCCCGGACTGGTGCTGCGACGGGTGGTGCGGGGCGGGCGAATGGTGGTTCTGGGCGGGCTCGACGTGCGTCGGCAGCCCGTGCTGCGAGTACTGGTTGTGCTGAGCCTGGCTCTGAGCTTGACTCTGGCTGGGAGGAAGTTGCTGCTGCTGCTGCTGCTGCTGCTGATGCGCCCCGAGACCCTGCGGAGAGATGCCGGTCTGAAGGGGGAACGGCTGGATCGGCGAAGTGGCCGAAAGGGCAGCCTGAGAGGGCTGGGAGGGGATATGCTGCGGCTGTGAGATCGAACTGGGGATTGCGTGCTGAGGCTGGGATGGCTGAGCTTGCGGCTGTTGTGCCTGCTGGGGGATAGCCTGCTGGAACAGTGCGGAGGACGAGACAGAGGGTGGCTGGGGCTGGGGCTGAGGCGGTGAAACAGGCGCCGGCGCAGCGTGCGGCTCCTGCGCGGGTGTCTGCGGGGGCTGGGGCGGATGCGCGGGCTGCGATGGCTGGGCAGGCTGAATAGGCTCTGGCGCGGGTTCGGCCGCTTTCGCAGGGGCGGGCTCGGGCGCCGGCGCCTCGGGGCTGCCATCGAAAACACACCATCAGCATTGGCACTCGTGACACAAGTATCACAAACTCACGCGTCGTCGTCGCCGCCCAAGCTGAGGCTCCCGAACTGCATGCCGACCTTCTCGACACCGGAGGCAAAGCTCGTGGGCATAACGACCGCCTGGTCGGTCGTCTTGAACTTGGCCGCGACGCGGTGGTGGTGAGCGCGGCTCTGCACGGGCGTCGCGGGCTTCGAAGGGATCTGTTGCGGCTCAGGCTGCTTCGACAGCTGCGCGGGGAGCGCCGAGGGCACCGATGGCTCGGGGGCTGGTGCCGGCGCTGGTGCAGGAGCGGGGGGTTCCTCCTGCTGGGGTTGTTGCTGCTGCTCTTCCTCCTTGGGCGGAGCGTCCACGACTGTCCAGCCGTCCGGTTCGGCCTGGGAGGTCGGCCGCTTGGGCTCGTCGTCCCATGTCGGCGCTTGGACTGTTGTGGGCTCTTCCCACCCTTGCTGCTGAAGTATGGGTTCTGGTGCGGGGGCGGGAGTAGGCTCAGGCTCGGGGGCAGATACTGTTTCAGGGGCGGGGGCGGGGGTGTGCTGAGGTGCAGTAGCAGGGGCAGGGGCTGTGGGCTGAGTAGCGGAAGCGGGGGTCGGAGCGGGCTGGGGTTGAGGACTGGGTTGTTGTTTAGCACTATAGGGAGTGTCAGGGGTCAGAGATCAATCATTCCAAGACAAGGGAGATAGCGTACCGAGCGATTTGTGCCCAGGACATCTTAGTGGTTGCGGGTGTTTTCACGGAGCCCTTAGCTCCCGCCGCAGGCGGCGGGGACTTTACAGACGGCACAGCAGACCCGTTGGCCGACTCCGCGACCGTAGACGAAGGGGCGGTTCCCCACCCAGCAGTCGACGGCGCAGTCGTCGCAGCCTGGGTGTCCGTCTCTGTACCCCAGCCATTGGTAGTAGCGGGAGCCTCCTGGCCCTGGGACGACGCCGCGTCGCCCTCGGCAGGGGTCGGCTCGCCCCATCCATTCGCACCGTTTGCGGTCGGGGCGGCGCTGTCGGCCCAGTCGTTGGACGCCGCAGGGGGTGCAGGCGCCGGGGTGCTCGAGTGGGACCCGTTGGCCTGCCGGTGCCCGCCTCGCCCGCCGCGCGCTGCACCGCCCCGCCCGCCGCGTCCTCCACCACGTCCGCCTCTGCCGCCCCGCGCGGGGAGCTCTTTTGCGTGGACAGCGGGGCTTGAAGGTGCCTTTTTCTCCTTCTTGCGGGTGACGGAGTCCCACTGGACGGCATGGCCTGCGCGAGTACCACGAGGTTACGGAGCGCTCACAAGGCAGAAAAGCGGAGAGGGAGAGAGATGAGATGCGTACCTTCTGTAATTCGCGTAGCCGCGAGCTCGACGTCTCCATTGACTTCTCCGAGGAGCGAGATGAGGTCTGCAGAGCGCAGGATGAGTATGAAAATAGAACAGAAGAGAGCGAGGGCGCGGGCGCACCGTCGGTGGACCAAGAAGGGAAGAGTTCTTGCAGCTGCTGTGCTTTGGCGCGGAATTTTTCGCTGGGGCCGTCTTGGGCGGCAGGGGCTCTGCGGAACTGGGACGATTGGTAGGACATCTCTGGGCGAGGCCGACTGGGATGAGCGGAGGGAATGAAACCGGTGGTTACTTGCAAGCAGACGCGACACGCGCGATGTCACCGCTTCCGGCGGAGCTCAAATTTCACTGCCGGGCTGCTGCAGGCTGCGAGTCGTGTGCACGGTATTCTACTCTTGTTTCACGCCGGCTTAGGCCTTGTGTCTCACTGACTGCGACGCGTCTGAGACGCCTGGAAAAAATGGGCCGAAAAACCATCGAAAAATGCTGGAAAACCAAACAGACGAGGTGGCAAAGGCGTCATTGCCGTTTATGGGAATTCCCGAGGCGAAGCCCCCGACACCCTTCGCTGGGGTAAACAGAACAGCATGCATAGACGGTCCAGTAAGTGGGAAGCGTGCTAGTTAGTAGCGATAGGGACTGTGCCACTAGAGTATAGCGCATATATCCCACATATGCTGTGTGCGCGAGCAGCCACGAGAATGACGGAAATCACAAGTGCAGTGTCCCAGTCGGGTGCTGTAGCTTTCCTCCTCCGTCGCCGTCCACTCTCCCTCCGCAGGCTGTCCAGCACGTCATGCACAGCTCTGCTATTGCAGGCCCCTCTCGCTCACCTGGCATAATGTCTGCTGCAAAGAAGCCCAAACCGCCCAACCTGACAATAGGCATCGCAAATAGGCCGGTAGCAACGAACACTGTCATTGAATTCGAGTCCCCCATTGATCTCGACGGCGACGACGACCACCTCACGCTCTCGTCGCCCTCGTCGGCGTCCTCTGGCTCGCCCATCGCGTCGTCGCTGAACCTGACCGACTCCGACGCGACCTCGGACGACCTGTCGAAGGACCTGGCCGTGCTCGAGGAGCTCCGCAAGAGCGTCCGCAAGAACCTGCGCCTGCGCCCCATCCGCTCTGCGCAGAACCTCAAGCTCGCGCAGCCATCACCCCACCGCCCCTTCGAGCCGCCGTCACGGGCGTGGTCCGAGCTCAGCGACCTGTCCATCACCAGCCCCGCGTCCAGCAGCGCCAGCGTCACATCACCTAGTGTATACTACACCCCCAGCTCCGAGCCGCGCTACTCCCCCCTCAGCAGCAGTGCCCGTTTCTATACCGCAGATGCGCTCTCTCCTGAGCCCCCGCGTCTCCCCTCTCCGACCCCTCCGGACGGACTCGACCCGAGCTCCCTCTTCTCGCGCCTCACAGCCTCTGCCCGCCCGTTGCTAATCGACACCAGACCTGCCGCGTCCTACCTCACCTCTCGCCTCCGCCATAGCATCAACATCGCCATCCCCTCCCTCATCCTGAAACGCTGCCGCAAGCCGACCGGCGGGTTTCAGTCCCTCGACGCGCTGCGCCAGTTCATCACCACCGAGGACGGCAAGGAGACCTGGGACGAGCTCATGGGCCCCGACGGCGACTGGGACGGCGACGTCATCGTCTACGACGACGAGATGGACCCGAAGGCCCGCGACAGCGCCAACTCGACCGCCTGGGCGCTTCTCGCAGTCCTTGCTCCCCTGCTCGAGCAGGGCAGTGTGAGCTATGTCAGAGGCGGGCTGGCGGCTGCGCGTCGACACCCGGACCTACGGTATCTTATCGTATCAGGAGATGCTGATGACGCGCTCCGCGCACCGGACGACCCCTCTAAGAAAGGCCACGGCCTATTTCAGCTGGACACCCAGTCCGCGCTGCGCTCCAAAGCCCTCCCCGAGATCGAGCACCTGTCCTGCTCGCCCCCCGCCTCGCCCAGCGCCGGCATGCCGTCCGTCATGAGCTCGCGCAGCCTCCTCCACGACGCCACCCCCTCGCCGCCCCCCTCCCAGTCCGTCTTCCGCCGCCCACCGCCCCCGCGCAGGCCCAGTGTGCCCCAGCTTGGCAAGCTCGACACCAAGTCCGCAGAGCGCCTCAAGGAGAACCTGCCGAAGCTGCAGATCCGCAACCTTCCCGTGAAGGCGAACACCCTCGCCGCACCCCCCTCCGCTACCCTCCGCCCCCATTCTCCCTCACATCTCAACATATACGCGTCCAACTATTCTCCGCCGGGGTCCGCGCGCTGGCTGCCCTCGTCCCCGGGCTTGAATGGCTCGAGCGAGTATCTCCCACCACCGTCCCCATCCTTTTACTCTTCTCGCTCCAGTACCCCCCGCACCCCGGGCACGCCCATGCCCCGCTCAGCCTCTACTGCCCGCCCCGACACAAGCCAGCCACCAACGACGGAAGAGCCGTTCCCCGTGTTTACAGTGTCTACGATTCTCCCAGGTTTCCTGTACCTCGGGCCGGAGCTGACCGAGGAGGAGCATGTGCAGGAGCTCAAAAAGCTTGGAGTCACGCGAATATTGAATATCGCGGAAGAGTGCGACGATAACTTGGGGCTACATCTGCGGGAGAAATTTGAAAAGTATATCCGAATACCCATGCGCGATACCGTCGAGGAGGACAACATCACGCGCGGCGTGCGCGAAGTTTGCGAGTACCTCGGTATGCCTAGTATATTATCACGAAAGACAATCACTTACCCTGCACCTCAGACGATGCGCGACTGCACTCGGCGCCTACATACGTCCACTGCAAAGCGGGCAAATCCCGCTCCGTGACCGCCGTCATGGCCTACCTCATCCACGCGAACCACTGGACGCTCTCGCGCGCCTACACCTTCGTCGTCGAGCGGCGCAAGGGCATCTCGCCCAACATCGGCTTCGTCTCCGAGCTCATGACCTTCGAGGAGCAGGAGCTCGGCACCAAGTCCATGGGCGTGATCAAGTCCGCCGCGTCGACGCCCGCCGAGCACGACGTGGAGGCGGACGCGGGCGGCGGAGGGGGCATGGGCATGAACGGCAACTACGGCGTCGCCGTCGCGAACCGACGGCAGGGCCCGCAGCGCGAGAGCCTCCCGCCGGCGTTCATGGGCCCCAACGGCGACATCCCGCATCTCATGTCCGCGGACGGCGTGGCGCGGGTCGGCGACTCGGGCCAGGAGATGGAGATCAAAGATTCGAGCGGGAGGTACAGGCACGCCCGCCGCGCACCCGTGGACGAGAACACGCTACAGCCTCTGCGGCGGGTCAGCAAGGCGGGTCTGGAGAGTTCGGTCTATTCATAGGGTTCAAGCTGTGGGTTCGTTGCGGCAAATTGAATTGTCTCCCGATGGTCATGGACAGACTTTTATTTAATGGTATAATTCTAGAATTATTACTCTTTATTGCCAGACAGAATTGTTGTCGCTCCATTCCTTTGGTCAAACGCTCAGTCGGTCTTTTGGGCTCGCTCTCATCTCTCTCTCTCATTCTCTTTTCTTCATCAACTTGTTCCCGCAGGGCATACCCAATCGAGTAACCATTTGTATAGCACACACCAGGCATTATAAAAGTACCATCATCATTTCGTTCTGGTTCATTGCAAGGCACTACGATGGACTCGGCCGCTGTTATGCTAGTCCCAGATCTCCCACTCCGAACCTCGACAATCACAAGCCTCCGAAAGCTATCCGACCGTCAATCACGGTGGCTGCGACTCGAGTGGTCAAGATCTCGTGGACCGGTACCGACATGATGTCCTTGTTTAGAACGACAAAATCGGCCTTCTTCCCCGGTGCCAATGACCCGATGTCATGCTCCGCGAATGAGGCGTACGCGGCATCGAGCGTCATGCCTTTCAGCGCTTGCGCTCGGGTTAACCGTTCCTTTGCAAACCTGCGAGACGGACATTAGTTCTTCCCCGGGCATGCGTAACAGCCATAATTGCTAAGACGATACGCCCATCAGACACTCACCATCCGTTCTCTCCGTGGGGGCTCCTGCCCGAGCGGTCCAGCCTGGAGACAGCGGCGTAGAAACCTAACAAAGGGTTGATACTCTCGACAGGAAAGTCGGAGCCTAGTGGCAGTACGCCTTCGGGAGAGTTCCTATAGATAATGTTAGTATAGATGGATGCCGGTGGTGTACGCTCCGGAGTGTGATGCTAAATGAATTTCGATTCCGATACGAACCGGAGCAGCGTTTGATATGCGTAGGCACCCTTGATCCGTTCAGGGCCCTGAATGTGAGATGCATTAGGCTGCCCTACAAATGACACAGCCATCTGTTGAAATGGCTAGTACGTACCAATCGACTTTCAGCGTACCACATATCGCTTGTCCTATAACAATGGGAGATCAACTAGCAAGCCCGCATCACGGATGGAATGTCACGAACGCATGCGTAGGCTGGACGCTAGCAATAACTGATAGTAATGTTAGAACGAACCAACTTAGATGATAGCGAAATGCAAGTACTGCATTCAGCAAACGAGACATCAGGCCATCAACTGACCTCCTAATTTTCCTGTCCGCTCGAGGTCACTTGATTGCATGATCTGTGCATGCTCGATCCTAGGTCTGCGAACACTGGCATTGCCCTGCGCATCTCGCAACACCTCTTCAAAAATGTCCAGTGCAATCTTGTTAGCACGATCACCTATGCAATGGATGTTCTATTCCTTTCGATCAGATGCATATGGGATCAAGGAAAAAGCCCATGCTGACTACTTGCCACCCCTGCTCCCACGCGTTCTTGACGTCGCGCCGCATCTCTTGCGGATCAATACGCAGGAGCCCGCTGGTGTCGGGCTTGTCAGAGTACGGCTCTATCAATGCTGCTCCCCAAGAGCCTAAGGCTCCTGCGGGCCGTTATTGTCAGCTACCAGGTAAAGCAGCTTGATAACAGATGACATAGAGACAGTGACATGGTATCGCTCACGTCCAGGGAAGATGCCGTAGTCATCAGAATAGCAGTCGCGGCGCGGCGCGGCACAGGCGTCGGACCTCAGGAATACAAGGCAGAGCACTCACCGTCCATGAACATCTTGATGCCCCTGACATTCAGCCTTCCTTCCTTTCCAAAATTCTCCCGGCGTTGCATTTTCAGTTGTGCGTTTTCGAGCATGCCCATTATGTACAGACGCATCTGATACATGTAATATTGGCCTGATGCCACGAAATCGCAAGAAAGTGCTTACTGGTAAACGGCCTTGCTCCGCCAGGCTAAGCACGACAAGTTAAGACTCTGTCATCACACTGGGGAGACAGCTAAAAAGATCGGCAGATGCTCACTGCTCATAGAATCTGACGACTCGGGCGTCGTTACCAGCGTCATGAATGCTGGTAAGGCCCACGGATAATCCATCCTAAGCCAGGGTTACATCGAATATGCGGAGCAGTACTTTCGCCACCCGAGGGCACGCACCTGCATAGCTCTGTCAAAGTACTCCAACATGACTGCATCCGATCGAGGAGGCGAAGGGATAAGGGACATGGCATTGTCAACAAATACACCTATCCGCCAGTAAAGTAGGTGCATTATTGATATTATTGATACTTTTGGAGAAGTGAGCTCCTACCTGTTGGGTCCCCCTCACGGTCTCGAATAATCTCCCCGCCGTCGACGCGTTCGGGTAAGCCACCCATAATATCTAGTACCCTCTCGGACACCCACGTCGCGTGCACGTCTACGCGAGCGATGCTGATAGGACGGCCTTGCAGCAATGGCGTATCAAGATCTTTCTATATTGTACCGCCATGGGATGAGATTTGCACAAGCTTCCTCGAGCCAGGTAGGGAGAGTCTGGTCACGTACGGCCATAGGAAAGCCTCCCCGCCAATCCTTCCACAAGTTCTGGTCCCAGCCCATGCCCTCTATCCATTTTGAAGTATCATTAAGCACGTCGGGATGGGCCAAGACGTAAGATTCAAGTATATCAATGATATCTAGATGAACGTTAGTTGGTACGTGCATCCGAGCCTTTGAACAGCCTGGACGGACGACACGTCGTATGTACTGACACCTACCCTGTAGCGATCTGGCTCCATCCAGTTGAAGTTGCATTTTAAACCCATATTCCAGTATATGTGCATGAGGATCTAACGCGTTGCGTTCTTATCTGAGTTTCAACGCCGCGTAAAACGTCGAGATCACACCTGCCAACCCGGGCACTACTATGTGACCTTTGGGAACTTCGAGAACGGCCAATGAAGCTTCGTCTCCGGGTGCGTGCACCAGACTGAGAGCAGCCCAGGACTCACGTACCTTGTCTTCAGCGTAATCTGTCCATGAAAGCGTCTCCAAACTAACGATGACAGCGAACCTTTGTCACCAGCGTCCATAATCTTGTCTCCTTGCACCAGAAGGCATTCGACTTGCGGATTACTCTCGTCCACCGTATAGATTGTGCCCTTGCCCCTACTCGCACATAACGCATAACTCTGAGGTAGCTGCGTGACCAGACCTTTTCTCCATCCTGAGACAATATACAAAGCGAAAGCAGCAGCGACTGCAGTCAGAAAAGTAGGCCACTTCGGGTTGAAATAACTGTATGCTGAAGGACGAGAACCAGGAACAGCGAGCTTGACATCTTTCGAGCTGCTAGACATTGTGGCACCGCATAAGTATCCGGCTTGACGCGTGACGTACCGCGTTTACACCGGCAAGCTCCGAAGCGCCGACTGAATCTCATCTCGAACCACACCCACTGCCAACGGGGACAACGACGACGGCGCCTCTGCCGAAATTCTGCTATATCCCTGCCCGAGCCTTTGCGTATGGGTTACAATGGATGTTAGCACTCACAAGCTGCTAGAGTCGGCCACAATCCGGACTCTGCACGGGCAGAATTTCTCGCGATCCTCGACCGAGGCGACCCATGTTCTGACGGATCTGCTTTCGCGTTACCTGACTGTTTTGTCGCAGTCGTGCAAGAAGTATGCAGAGCAAGCCGGGAGGCTGAATCTAACTGTGCGCGATGCGGGGTGTGCTCTTGAGGAGATGGGGACAAGCATCGAAGAACTACGTGATTATTGTGGCTCGGAAGGTAAGGAGCTAGGGAGATATGGGGTACAGACGAGGAATAGACTTGAAGATTTGAAGGAATACAAGGGTCAGTCGAGCTGGGCTCATCTACCCCTCGCTTTCCTCTTACACCATCCTAGCTGTTCTGTCCGAGGGGCTCCGGCAAGAGTACGATGCCATACCTTTGGTGTATGCGCCCGTTCCAGAGGGACTGTCGTTGTCGGAAGGGGAATCAGAAGAGCTTGACGAGGAGTCCGCGGAATCCGGTGACGAACAAGTAACACCCGAGGCGCAGGTGAATCCTGTCCTGAACGAAGACGAGACTGAGGCGACGCAAAAGGACGAGAGCCTATCAGCACCCAGTGGTCCGAGAAGGCCATCGTCACCACCGTTACCGCTTTCACCAGTTTCGAATCCGGCGTCTCCTCCAGCTAGGAAGAGACAAAGGATGATGGATTGGGACCCACCTGAATATGTTCCTGATTTCCTTCCTCCATTTCCTGGCGAACTTCATCCACCCTCCAGAGAACCATCACCTCGTCCGGCGGCGGAATCAGCGACAGCTGGAGCTGAGCCACTCCCCACACCCCTCACCCAGCCTCTTACCTCCGCCTCTTCTTCCGATTATCTTACCCCCGTACCGTATTCTGAATCATCACTCTCGTCTGTGCCGGAATGGCACCTGCCGAAACCACCATCGTCTCCGGGACTTGAGACGTCCCATTCGAGACCATTCGTCCTTCCGACTCCGCAAATACAACCAACGCTGCTCGCAGCGTATCATCATATCCTTACGCACCCTCCCCCGCCCACAACAGGCGGCGGGAATCCGAGTAAACACAAGGTCGCCCTGGCCCTCATTGCAGAAAACCAGCGGCGCCCGCGGTGGGACCCGCCAGACACCTTGTACGCTAGCGTACAGCCATGCCCGCCCCGTGTTGCGGCCATTATGCCCACCTATCCTGTACCCATCAACGCGCCGCCCACGCCAACAGAAGGCAAGGGTGACAAGACTCCTGACCCGAATAAGGAGAAGAAGTCGGGTCTCCCTTCTGCCCCACCGAAGCCTGTCGCGCCGACCGAACGCATTGCGCCCATGATCAGCCAACAGTCCTCACGTATCCCAGAGTTGGCTAGGCAGATCCTGCCGGTAAGTCACCAGTGTCTCAAGTAGGGAGAAGCTTATTCAAATGAATGAGCAGAGTTCCGTGTATACACGGACGACGCGGCTGACTCACCCTCCTGTGCTCATGAAAGGCACTCAGAAGCTTACCTATGGGCCTGGTATGAACGCGCCTTGGAATTCTATGGCGGCGCCAACCCCAGCCGGCGGCAAAGCGAAGGACAAGGACAAAGATAAGGAGCCAGAGGAGAAAGACGAGGCGCCCAAGGTATTGCCGGACGCGCGTTTCTATGCGACGTGGGATTACGAGCCGAAAGTGTTCTGGGACCCAATACGAGGGATACCGAAGAGAGCTCGGCAGGGAAGCATCCAGGTCGGCGGCAGCAATGCACATGGTGGATCGAGGGGTACCAAACGAGCCCATGGAGATTAGCTTACTTGTACTATTACACGTTGTCGCGCACTAGTTTTGTGTTTGCTTTCTGGTTTTCCAGTCGAGAATCTGTTCACCACCACGAAGAACATGATAGTTCGATCGAAAGGCGCGGAAGAGGGACACAGCCACTCATGCAGGCCCATAGAGCGCGGAAATTGCCACAAACTCAACTCTAATGGCTTCTAAGATCCAAAACATCGTAGCGAACTTCGACAACATCACTGTATCTGACATAAACTAGCGCAATACATGATATGAATCAAAGCCCAATAGGAGTACATGCACACGTCGCGCATCACACAGAAGGAAGGTAGCACGATAAAGACAGAACGACCAGCCGAGATATCGATGACAAGAGAAATGCTGCTCGAATGACATCATAAGGACATGCCTTCATAGGAAGTGTATCCAGCGTTACTCACCAGATATTTACGATCCCTTCGGGGCTTCCTTGAAAGAGATGGCCTATGACATAACGTTCAGTGAGGAGCTTTGCGAATGAGCGGTGTTGTATACTCACCGCTTCCTCTCCCATAGCAGAAACGATCGTAACCAAGAGATCAGAACCCTCGTCGAACGCGGCCTGGATCTGCTTGCCCAATTCACCCTCAGGCACACGGACGTCGTCCTTGGGAGTACCGTCCTGGGTCATGAGGTTCAGGAAACCATCGTCAATGTTGACCTACACCAGAATCGGTCATTATGGAACAAAGACCGAGGTGGCTATAATCATGCGTACGAGCTGGTACTCGGTCCGGCTAACGTTGGGAACGTCCATGTTGTGGGTGGAGGGACAGATATCCTCCTGTTACAGCACAAGCCAGTCAGAAAACGTCTACTAGGGGTGTTAAAATCTTATTCTGACCATCTTCTTCCCGTTGAATATCTGAGGAATTCAAGGCTAAGTTTTGTCGCTCTATGACTGCAAATTTCTGACACTCACATCAATCGCAACCAAGTGCACCTTGGCGTGACCGTGCTTGCCTGTCTTCGAGGTGGACATTTCCACGATTTTGCAGGGACGGCCTATCTCGCGCACATAAGATCGTGGGTCCGCAAATCACTTCATATTGCCCTTAAACGCACCTTTTATTACAACGTGCCCGTTCTTACGGAGAGCCGAGCATTGCATGGGGTAGGTGAGCGAGGCGCCAGCAGAGGCCTGACGAACAGAGATGAGCCGCTAGCCCCGAGATCAACGCGAAGACGACAAACAGACCTGCTCGAAAGTGTGGTTGTGCTGCTCATCGTCGGACATGATGGTCGTATAAAGAAATTAAAAGACAAGCGAAGGAGATGGGAGATGGGAAGGATATGGACTGCAAGGAGAGACGAGCGCGAAAGCCGAAGCAGTAGAAAATCAGAGATTGTCAATCTTTTTCAATCTCCGATCGTGAGAGAATCCGGCCATCCGGCCTCTCTCCGCGCCACCGCCGACTGCGACACCGCCACCACACTGACTCTAATTAGCGCGTCCACTGTCTGTATTCCATCGCGGCTGCTTACTCTGCTCTACCTGTATAGACCTCTCATTTTTTGCTGCAAATAATGCACCCTTTTGGAGGCACACCCCGCTGCCCGCGATGCAGCAAAGCGGTCTACGCGGCGGAGCAGGTGCGTCTGCTCTGATCCGTCTGCTCGATCTTGAATCTCATGAAGCAATTAGGTCATGGGTCCGGGGCGAAAGGTACGTTCAAGGCCGGCTTCCAGCCTCGCTGTTAGCTGACCCCATTGTCCGTCAAGCTTTACCATAAAGTGAGCAGTCTTTGACTCAATATTCCGCGCTTTCTCAACCTCGTGTTCGCGGATGACAGCCTTGCCTGACCTGCGCAATATGTAATAAGCGGCTAGATTCATTGAGTCTTCTCGAGCACGATGAAGAGGTACGTCCGCGATATCAGGGTCACGTCGCTCTCAGCTCATTATGGGGGCTCTCATAGGCGTATTGGTGAGTACCGTAGATGCTGTGGACCCGCGAGGTGCTTACTGTTCACAGCAAGAACTGCCATTCAAAGACTTTCGGGACTCGTGACCTCCGGCAAGCCAATCTGCCCCACCGCGATGACCCAGTGCCATCTCCTACACGGCGCTCATTCTCGCCGCCACCTCTGTCCCCGACGAGGACGAACACAGGCAACTCGCTTTCTCCCTCGCTCATCACTAGTCATGTCACTGGGAGCAGCAATCTTTCTTACCAAGAAAGAATTGGGCGGAAGAACACTTCCTCCCCGCCGCCCATGTTCAAGCCCACGCGAAGCTTAAGCCCTACATCCCCCACATTCTCGTCCTTCTCCGCTCGGTCACTGGGTCGCCAGGACGCCGGTGAGGCAGCTGAGAACGGGAACGGCGACGAAGCGCTGGACACTATTTCTGAAGAGCCGCGGGCTGGGAATAGGAACGGAGATGCGGCGCGGAGTGCGAACACGCCTCTGAATCCCTCTTTCACCGGTCGAGGCGGGCCGGGGAATCCTACAAAGTATGCGAGCACTCTGGGACGGTCGAATTCGTCATTCAGCGCCTCTCTACCATCCCTTGTACCCACTATGACTGGGACTAGATACGGCGCTGCGTTGGGCGGCGGGACATCGTCGCCATCGAAACAGTGGGGTGGGGGAACACCGGTTTGTCCGAAGTGCGGGAAGAGCGTCTATTTTGCCGAACAGGTATTTCCATACCCGTCTATGTATCGGCTCTTGGTGCTCATGCGCATGGAAATTTGCGCGCTAGGTCAAGGCTGTAGGCAAGACGTATCACCGAGCGTGTCTGCGGTGCACGGGGTGCGGCACTTCGCTGGACTCCACTAGATTGACCGAGAAGGAAGGAGTACCGTACTGTCATCGATGCTACAGCAAGGTAAGCGTTGTAGACCGGCCAAGCCTAGTTACTATAGCTTGCTGACGTCTCCGGTACAGTTATACGGACCGGCTGGAAGTGGGTATGCCCTGCTTGGCAAAGCCGGCGGATAAGGCGTCATTTGTCACATCACCTGAGTTGATTCGGTTAACCTATACGACTATACCCATCTTGTAATCTTGGAGCTCGAAGACATCGTGCCAGAGGGCAGCGATGCACGCCTACGTTGTGAATGTATCGTTATGTGATTTTCATGGACGACTTCTCCTGACTTTATCCTTCCCCTGACTGAGAAAAACTGTATATCCGCATCACTGAAAATATTCAAACATATCTCAGTTTACGACCTGATGGCTTTCAAAGCTGGCTTGAGTGTGGAAGCATAGTCGAATTATGTAGTTAGTTGCGGTGGACCCATTTGTGGCCGTGGCTGTTCCCACGCCCGAACTTCGAAGTTGCATCATGGATCCAAGATTGCCACAAGATTGCCAAGTCAAGCATTGACTACCGCCACAAACTAGCCACTCGCTACGGTACGTTTCCTGCCTATGACGTTTAGTACCTGCAAGCGACAGTGGGACTGAGACGTACGGATAGAGGCTGGCATCTGTATACTGTACCAGAACCATGGAGGGAGCGACATTCTCACCGAACCTGCCTTACGTCCTGTTCTTCCTCTACATCGAACCATTCTCGACCATAGTTGGGGCTTATTACGCTCACTTGCGTCCTCTCGAATACCTGAAACTGACTCACGCGTCGTCTGCTCCTGCGACCTCGCTCGGAATACCGGTGGGGACGCAGGTCGTCCTCAGCCAACTCGCCAACCTGTACCTCCTCTTTGCACTCAACGAAGCGCTGGTCTTGCGCTCCACGCGTTCTCTCAAAACCTGGAGGACCCTTTTGACAGGGCTGCTCATCGCGGACTTTGGTCACCTGTACAGCATTGCTTCCCTAGGGACAGGTATGTTTTGGAAGTTTTGGCAGTGGAATGCCATCGACTGGGGAAACATCGGATTCGTATACTGTGGCGCACTGATGAGGTGTTTAATCCTGTCTGGGGTAGGAGTCCGGATAATAGGGAAAGACAAGAAGGCGACAACCTAGTGGAATGGCACATTACGATACTCTTCGTATTCATAGGAACTATGCGCGGATTCGTACTATAAGTCATATGCACTCCAGGCGGACAATAAATAAACATGAAACAGGTTTGTCGTGAGCTAAGAAGCCAATTCAAAAAATCGCAGAGCGAAGAGCGGATACATCACAAGTAAAGCATCAAGTCTCAACCTTCCCATCCTACTCGTACCGAGGCGGAGGTTCATCATTCAATGTAGAAAGTTGCGCTTGCATCCTGTGCATCTCCTCCTGCATCTGCCGTATCTGGGACCTTAACTCCTCCTCAGCGCTGCTCATGGGAGTAGGAGCAGCGGCACTTTCAGCATGATTCGCCGAGCTTGGCGGACTCCTCTGTTGTAGTAGCGCCAGCGACTCCTCGTGCTCTGCCACCATCCGGGCGAGCTCCTGCTGCCTTTCCTGCGCTTTCAGCAGTGCTTTATCGTTCCTGCCATGCTTGCTAGACGATTTGGTAACAGAGCCTGACGAAGACCCTGGACGGTGATCTGAGGGCACGGGGGTCGTATTGGGGGTGTTAAGTGGGTGAACAGCCATGAGGGACGTGTTATCTGGCGGTGGAAATGGCGATACATGATTGATATACGGAGAGACATCCATGGCATCGAATGGGCCACCGAGCGCCCTTTCAGGATCTGTCCCCAACATGGAGTCGCCCTCAGCTTCCGAGCGCAGATCGACCTTCTCCCCTCTGGCCCTTTTGACGCGGACGGTGTCCCCTCGCTCATGAGCTCGGATTCGCCGACGCACCCGCCACCACATGAGCGCGACAAGTAGCAGAAAGAGGGCGACTAAGCCGCCTGCTACCCCTCCAGCGATGGCGCCCGTATCGGTGGTATGTCTGGACGACCGGTTTATAGTGGTGACGCCAGTTCCCGAGATGTAAGGAGAGGATGATGAAGTCTGTTGGTCGTTTCCAGCAGGATGCGTGGCGGTATTCCCGGAATCACCTGCGCTAGTTGTTCTCGAGTCGGTGGGACTGCTGTGACTCGGGGTTATACCAGCGGGTACAGGTTGGCCAGCTGGCGCTGTAACTTGTGAAGAGTCGGAAGACATCACCGCTGCGCTTGTGTGCGACGACGAAGATTGTCGTGCTGAGAAGGGGAAGAAACGTGAGTCGCAGAGGTAGAAATAAGAGGACGAAAGCCGAACCTCGCTGGACCCGCGCATCTGCGTTCCTTGGCTAGCGCTTCTTCTGGGGCGCTACAGCCTACAGATATACTGTACCGTGATGGCATCGCGATTGATAATAACCCCGCAAATAAGGCCGTCGGTAACTGTGCAGCTAGTGGCGGCACGCGTACGGCACCGATGAGGTAGAGGCGGTTGGGAACTCACTGCATAGTACACAGATGCAAAGCCTTGTAGGCACGTCGTTACGAATGATAAATCATGTCGTTCTCTATGCATCCCCTGTGAAGACAAGTAATTATCATTCGTATCACTTACTGCAAGCATTGCTGAAACCATGGCATGAGAATCAAGCCCCCGACAAGGGCGGGTTGCCAACTCAGACTCTAAGCGAAAGGTGTCGACCAGGAGCGGTGCACCGCCACTAATCAACGGGATCTCTGCTGTCGATTTGCATCATCAGCACTCATTACGTCCCTAGCGCTCTCTTTCTCAACCGTAAGGTTTACTGGCAGTACATAGACGTCGACATTAGTATAAGCTTGAGGACAACTGGTCGCAGGAAAGCAAACGCACTCACCCGCAATGTTCCGTCTGTTTCGAAATTCCTTTCACCGCATTGACAATGATATCTCCGGTCGTAGTGATATCGTAGATCACAATGATTCACACATCGACCGCACAACAACACGTGCCGCGCTCAAAGTCAAGGCATCGAGGGGGCTTCCCCATCTGCCAGTCCACCAGCGAGCTCCTGCTTCCGCACAGCTTCTTTGCACAGGAGAGTGGTCCTACGCCCTTGCCCCTTTGTACTAGAGGCTGAATGTCTTCAGACCGGCGGGAACGCGGAGCCCTGCCTCAGTGTTTCCTAAGACGGTGCTATTGATGACCCCTGTAATGGTTACTGCTAGCATCATCCTTTTCTCCACCTCTCATCCCGCTGACCCGGATGGCGTCGTTGTCTGTGTGCCGTCGACAGCGCACAAATGCGATGGCCGGCAGAATCAGCACATCAACAAGTGATCAACACAACGAGAAGAATCTTCCGTGTACGAGTACTATGTGGGCCGTTCGATGGAGAAGGCGACCCGCCACCCATGGTCGCTAAGTATCAGAGGGAGAGTGGTCTGGATGTACGGACCGCGAAGCTTAAGGAGGAGTTTAAAGTTACAGTGCACAGGCAGCCCACTGGCTGTTCTACAGCCCAGTACTCAACAGACTAGACTATCTAGACATGGTTGCTTGTTCCCTATACGGACATTTGATCGCATCAATACTGAGTGCCGACCCAACGTCGGTCTGCAATTGATCCGTTCCCGGACCGGTACCGCAACCCGTTCCGACTAGCTTGGTAGGAGATGTCCATCGCTGCCATCGCACCTTTTCATGAAGTTTGGAAGCCAAACGAGGTGACAGCAAATAAAGGAGCACATTGCACCATTTGTTGTTGTTGATACGGACTTACAAGTACTGCAGCCTGCACGACGGCTCGATGTGCCAAATCTCATCGCTCTTCCCCTTGACTATGATAGACAGCGGCCCATGGTCCTGAGTACAGATTGCTGAGCAATGATGCATATATATGGCACACCTATTCTATTCTCTATCCTCCCACACTCCCCGCCGGAATTCAACATACTTAGCTGTCCCTTCAGTACCTTATCTCCGCATGAGCGCATTTACGGAAACGTGAGTACCCCGAGTGCCCTCGCTTCCCATCGTCATTGCACCGGCACGCGTAGCCAAATGCTAGTATTCTCTTATACCCCAGCCGAACCTTCCCAACTCCGAGACGAAACAGTTAGCAGACGCACCTCCGCGATTTGGGCCACCGTCCACCACAATGCCCTCTTGGTCGAATACTCCCTCCGGCACAATGAAAGCCGCCGTACTCACCAAGCCCGGCGCGTCCCCACCCTCCGCCTGCTTCACCATCGACACCGCCTACCCGAAGCCCACCCTGCCCTCGGAGAAGTGGATCCTCGTGCGCGTCTACGCGGCGGGCCTGAACCGCGCCGAGCTGCGCGGGCGCAACAACGAGCCCCCCGGGACACCCGAGTTCGGGCCCTTCCAGGCCGAGTTCCACACCGACCCGCCGGCGATCCTCGGCGAGGAGTTCGTCGGCGTCGTCGCGGTCGCGGGGAAGGAGACGAGCTTCCGGGAGGGCGACAAGGTCAGCGCGTGGATATATGGCGGCGGGAAGGCGCATGACGGCACGTACGCCGAGTATGCGCTGTGTCTGGGAGAAAGGGCGGTCAAGTTCGAGAGCAGCCTGCCGTGGGAGGTGCTCGGCGGGATTCCGATGAGCATGTGGACGGCGTACGCGAGCTTGTTTGAGAGCGCAGAGACGAAGCCTGGGGCGGTGGTCGTCGTGCATGGTGGGACGAGTTCGGTCGGGATATGGGCGATTTTGTTGGCGAAGGATAGGGGGTGCACGGTCATTGCAACGACAAGACAGCCGGGCAAGTTGGACAGGTTGAGAGCGGCAGGAGCAGACCATGCATTGCTGGACGACGAGTCACTCGTGTCGAAGGTCCGGTCGCTCTACCCAAAGGGTGTGAATACGGTGTTCGAGCTCGTCGGCCCCGACAAACTGGAGAAGGTCGCGTTCCCGATGCTCGCGAGGCACGGGGCGTGTGTGGTCTCCGGTATATTGACCAAAGTCTGGGCGCTGCATGACTTCACGCCAGCGATGATACCACCTACCAGAAAACTATGTTTCTTCACCTGCTTGACGGGAGAAGACATTGAGGGCGCGGAAGAGGTGTTGCAGGACGTCATCAACAAAGTCGAGAGCGGAGTCTTCAAAAAGGAAGTGTACCTGGACAAGGTTTTCAAGCTGGAAGATATTGGAAAGGCGCACGAGTACATGGAAGAGAACAAGGCAGTTGGAAAGGTCGTCGTTACTATTGATCAGCAAGATCATAGCACGGACAAGCTGTAAGATTATAGTCGTAGTGTACGGCTGTCTTTCACGTGTGTAGATACCCCCGGCAGCCCGAGGCTTCTGTATTGGTTCCACTCGTATTGTTTCAGCCAGTATAAAGCTGCAACTACCAGACACTCCGAGCATGCCACAAGGTGCAATGATGAAGCCCAGAAAGTCGACCCCACTGGGAGGTCACACCGCCGAACGCGTTCGCGAACTGCAAATGCGAACGTGAGAACCACACCACGGTGCACGTGGGCGCGTGTCGATTCTGTGGCTCTGTCCACCGGCTACAGACGCGTACCCCTTCTGCTTATGATAAAATCTGCATAGCCTGATGGTTTTAACTTGTAAGTTTATTGTATCAGTCTGTGAGATTGAAATTGCTGGGTTATTGTAAAAAAAATGTGGTGAGTAATCGAAGCTGTCTGTCCAATTGGGGTCACACGAACCCATTGAAGCCCCTTCCGTGCCCTCCCCCTAACAGTTTCCATGGTCAATACTACTGGCATTGCATTGAAAATGTGATGGACAACTTGAAATTCATGGAAACTACTCTATTCACGTCATCAATATCCCTGGTATGGTACAATAATATGTGCATAACAAACTGTATTTTATGGATTGAAAGCATAGCCGCCATTGCCTTTCTCGCTCAATAA